CAAGATAGAAGATTCTATCTGCCTAAAATTCTACAAAATACAATCCACTGTGACAGAAAGCAGATCAAAGTCACCAGGGAACAGGACAATGATTTACAAAGGTGCTCAAGAAAAATTTTCTTTTTGTGGGGAGGTGATAATTATGTTCATTACTGTGATAATGGTATGTACTTCACAGGTGTTGCTATATGAAATCTTATCAAATTGCACACTTAAATATTATAGAGCAATCATACCTCAATAAAGCTGTTAAAACCCAAATAATGCACATTAAAATTCCCAAATATCACTAAACCCCTCCTAGAATGGAATTAAACATATATGTATATGTATTTGGTAAGGGTAACACCAACTGGAACTCTCATTCATTGCTGGTGGAAATGTGGACTGAGTCAGCCACTCTGGAAAACATTTTGGCAATTTCTTATAAACATACATTTACCATATGATCTAGCAAATCCTCTTCTAGGTATTTAGCTAAGAGAAGAAAATAGTAAGTCCATGCAAAGGCCTTACAATGGACATTCATAACAGCTTCATTCATAAGAATAAGAAATTGGAAAAGACCCAAAGGCCTATCATCTGATGAATGCCTAAACAAATACATCCATCTGTAAAACAGGAAACGATACAAACCTCAAAAGATCCTTGTGAGTCTGTAAAGAGAAAATGTGAAAAAAAGTAAACTATAAAGCTTGATAGAGAGGATCATACTAAACACCACTTATTCAAGGAAACAAAGCTGTGACAGAAAAGTACTCACAAATCACACTTGCAGCTTTCTGTGTCAGGCCTGTTTCACTCCAAATAATGCTGTGGAGACTTCTCCATGTTGGAGTGCATATCTGTATTCTTTTTTGCTGAGTGTTAGTGTATTTTAATGTATACATTAAACCTCAATAAAATTGAATTTTTAAATAAACCACTAATATATGGCAAAATACAGGTAATTTTCAGCAAACTTTTAAATATCTCCCTTTCTAAATTCTCCTGTAGTAAAAGGAAAGAGCACAGAACTCAGTGTCAGAGGCCTGAAATTTGTATCTAGGATTTGCCATTTATCCGCTCTCAGACTCTGAGCACCTTACCTTATTTGAAAAACAAAAGGAAAGGAGACAGACCTCTAAAGATCCTTGTAAGAATGAAAAGAGAAAAAGTACTTTATAAACAACAAGAGCTGATACAGAATATCCACACTAATCACTGCTTACTTAAAGAAGCAAAAGTTGTCAGAGAAAAATACTCACAAATTAACTGATCACTTATAACATTACTCCCTCCTCAAACATCCCTGCTTCTGCCTCTTGCTAGCTACATGATCTACTTTGCTGAACCTCTCTCAGCCTCAGTTTTTTTCCATTTATGAAACAAAGCTTATTAATAGGACATTCCACATAATGGGAGAATTAGAGTAGATATGTATAAGGCACATGGTACAATGCCTGACACATGGTAAGTGCCTTATAAATTTTAGCTCTTATTACAAAAATACTATTATTATTACCCTACCCGACTTCATACTAGCCTCCATCCTGCCACCCAACCTGCAGTAGTGTAGGTCATGTTAGTGATCTAAATCACTGCTCCCCAAAAAATGTTTAACTCTTTTATTTTTGATTTTAGAAAGAAGATAAGGGAGGGAGTAAAGGACGGAGAGAAACATCGATGTGAGAGAGAAACATCAACTGATTGCCTTCTGTATGCACCCCGACCTGGAACTGAAACCATAATCTAGGCCTGTGCCCTGAATGGCCGAGGCAATGCTCCTCAGAATTTTAGTGAACAATGGAATCACCTGAAGAACTGCTTTAAAAACACACACATTTTATTTTTGGTGCATTTCAAATTTACATGATTATTGCCAAGACAGTACAGGGAGTTCCCCATATACCCTCTCTACAATTTCCCCTACTATCTGACATCAGTACAGTGTGTTTGTCATACTGAATGAACAAATACTGATAATAATGTTGATACTTTATTCAAATTAGTTTTTCCCTAATAAACTTTTTTCTGGTCTAGGATCCCATTCAGAATACCACATATACCTCATGTAGTCATAACCTGTAGCTTTCAAAACAAAGTTACTGAAACCCAGATATTTTAGAGAGTAGGTATAAGATAGGGCCTGAAAATTTACATTTCTAACAAATTTCAAAAGCTTGCAGATGGGGCCAATCTAAAAATACACTTAAAAGAGCACTGATCTGGATTCTAGACCCCAGACTTGTGCTACAAGCCACTTGCCAAGCATGCGGCTATTGAGCATTTGATGCGAGGCTAATGCAAACTGAGATGTGCTGTAAAGTACCAGGCAATTTTGAAAATGTTAGTTGAAAAAAGAATGTAAAATATCTCATTAGTAATTTCATATTGATTACATGATAAAATGACAATTTATTTCGCTTGGGGTTTTTTCACTTTTTTTGCTTTTGTCATATAGCCACTTAAAACTTCGCAATTACATAGATGATGGCATTTCTTTCTACTGGATAGCAGTGATCTGTGTTCTGGGCAGAAGAGCAGAATGGGTATCACCTGGGGGCTTGTTAGAATTCAGGTGAGTCCCATGCACATTAAAGTCCGAGAAGCACTAGGTTACCAACAGGGGAGGGGCACTTTGAGATGTCAGCATTTGCAGTTCAGGTAAAAGGAAAAGCTGTATCAACAGCAAATTGAAACTGCAGGATATTTATTAAGTCAATAAAGTCAATAAAAGGAATAGGAAAATGGCTGAATCACTGCAAAGCCAGCCACAACGAGGAAGTGGCAGAGTTAGACCTGTTAACAACTGAAAAAGGCAAACCACAAAGACAGTGGCCAGATGTGTACCTCAGAAAGTCATAATTTGAAAAGCAGGACTTGAATGAAGTACAATGATGCTATGTGGTAGCATCATACCTTTTCATATCTGATTCACTCCACAAAACAGTACATATTTGCAATTTCTGCAACGTATAATTAAAACTGTTATAAAAGTTCTAACTTCACTTTTCTCCCCCACTATTTATCATAAAATTATAATGCCTGATTTAGGCAGATTCACCTGAGGCTGCTTTTTCCTAGTACCAATTTTCTCAGATAAGTAAAATATTAGTACTATCGTTTAATAATTTTACACATCATATTCACTGTTTTAGTCAACCTAAAAATTTTATTAGCTTTTTATTCTCAGAAATGTCAACTGAATAACTTAAAATACTTAAATTTGTAAAGTCCATTTTCTATCCACCTTTTACAAAAAGCATTGAACAGATACTTTCCAATTAATGGAAGAAAGGCCAAATGATTAACTACAAATAAGATGCTGTTTTTCTACAGTATTTACATATATTTGCTTGTGCATCACAACTGGGGAATAAAACAATTTATAAAGTTATATAAAATACTGACTATATACAGACACTAATGTATACAGATATCATTAAGAATCAGTGAGTTTAGCAATCTTCTCTGACTCCTATAATTGACAAAGTACAAACAGGTATCTATCAACAAACACTGGGGCAATACACACACACACACACACACACAATCTGTTACACTATTTTTCCCCACAGAAAAACACCTCCAGAGCATCAGAACTACATGCAACCATGGGTCACACATATGTGCCCAGCCCATGTGGCTCTTGAGGTTGCATGGCTCAGGATCAAGTCTTCGCAGCTTACTTTTTAGTCACTGCTCCGGGCTTCCTAATTCCAGCTCTGAAACGGCTCCAGCAGCATTTTTAAAACAAAGAGAAAGAAAAATGCTAACAACGGCCAGGACAGAAAAAGTATAGGAAGACGACACATTCTCTAATACACCCTCCTGAAGATCACGTAAGGAATACTGGATATGAGCAAATACATCTCCAGGCCACCATTTCCCAACATTTTGGTATGAAAGAGGTGTGGCTAGGGACCATATACTTTTTAATAACCTTTCACTGTAACATTCAGTCTTCAAAGTTCTCACCTTTAGAAATGGATGGGAGAATCTGAACCACAAAGCAGGTGACTCCTCATTCAATGCTCCTCCACATTATGTGCCCTTACAGCAATATGTGCATAAATGACCACTAAAATCTTCTTCCATATATCATTATTACCCATAAGGCAATAGGACTGTTAACAGCCTATTCCCACAACAAACACTTCACTTGGCATGACATTAGAACTTCCATAAAGATATGCTTTAAACATTTTGCTTTTTGAGCTTTTGCAAATGCATTTAAAACCGCTGCTGCATCCAGAGGGAAAACATCGCACATCTCTTAAGCTAAAGGCTGTGCGTATTTCTTAATGAAGACCGTGTAGACAGCTCTCCTCTGCAGTAACAACAAAAATAGGGCAGTTAACTGCCTCGCAAAACAATCAAGTACCCTAAGGTGGGAGGAGGGCAACAAGCTTGTAAAGAGGGTATTTTAAATTCAAGGACTTTGAGGAGATTCCTCCCAAGAGTTGAAGAGTAGCAAACGTCTATTCAGCAGGGGTGGGGCACCGCTAAAGACTGCAGAGATGAAAGTGCCCAGTTTAAGGTCAACAGTCCAGGAGTGGAGGCCCCAGGTGGGATCCCTGGATGGGCGGAGGTTTAAACACCCCACAGCAGGTAGGGAGGGGCACACGCCGCAGCAGGAGGCAAGGAAGGAGGGCGGCACCAGCTAGTCTTTAACACTCACACACACTCACACAAACCCCGACTCCCTCCTTCCTGGGGGCGGGGCGGGCGCTGCCCTCACACAGGAAGTCAGGAAAGCGGGGGGCTGTGGAGCCACAACTTCTTACCATTTAAACCGTCTCGTCCACATCAGCCCCTGGGCTGTCAACAGTCCCTCTAACCCCGAGCCCACCTTCACGCCCGACCCCTCAAGCGTCCCTCCCGGCCTCACCTCGCGCGCACCTCGTCACCCTCAACTCCGCCACCCTCGGAAGACTCAGCTCCGGCCCCGGAGCGCCTTTGTGCAGCACCCCACCAACCTGCCCCCTGTACGCAGGGCCCCGCGCCCACCACCTTACCGAAGGCCCGGAAGCCTCTTGGAGGCGACGGCCTTTTCACCCAGCAAGGGGTCTGCAAGACACTAAATCAAGCCTGAAGGCAGCCGTGTCTGGCCGGTTCCCGCAGGCTAGTCTCCGCGGGAGGGTAAGTTCCAGGGCACGTCGGAGCGCGCCGGCGCGGGGGCGGGGCGGGGTGGTGGGTCACGTGACCTTGTGGGCCGGGCTCAGAGCACGTGACGACCGGGGATGTGCGAGGTGAATCGGACTCGCTGATCCAGGAGAGGGAGGGGCCGAGGGTTTGGCGGGTGAGGGAGCTGGAAACTAAGTGGGCGTGAGCACTTGGTAAACATGAAGTGGGAGGTGCTGAGAAAACGGTATAGGGGAAAATGAGGGAAGGGCGAAATAGAAACACGCCGAGCGCTAGGGTGGCAGGAATAGAGCCCAGGAAAGGCGAGCGTTTAAAGTGGGGTTGCAGGCCCTACGCGTTCCCGTCCTCGGCCCACTGGCCTGCCGGGAGCTGCTGCTGAGCAAGGTCGGCCGTTCACGGGCCCCGAAATCCCCGGGACACTCGGAAAAAGTGCTACCTCAAAGGGACGAAATGGAGGTTGGAGACATTGAGACCATTACCCGGCCCATGCGGAGCTGTCCTTTGCCGGAGCCGCGTGATCAGAGTGCGGGGCCAGATGTGCACACTCAGGATGGAGGAGGTCCCTGGTATCCAGTAGCGCTGGCTCCTCGGGCTGGCGGCTGCAGAGCAGCATGACCACTCACCCTCGGCGCTCAGCCATTCACAGCGCCTGCTGTGTGCACGCCCCATGGGGGCTACAGTGTCATTGCCCAAAGTCATTCCAGTTTGAACCGTTTCGTTTGTGGCAGCCCAGAATCCGGAGTGTTAAAGGTTTTTCTTTTTGATCCTGTAGCGGACTTCTGCTGGACTAGAAATCTAGAAAAACCTGGATTCTACCATCGACACTTCACCCCTTCTCGACCTCAGCTATTAAAGGAACGTGCTGCAGGAACTGAAAGTCTCCTTCTAGTTCTAAAATTCAATGACCGAAAAACATGACTGATAAGTATTAGGACTTCAGAAACTACTCATTCAGTAACCAACTGTTGATTGTGGCTTTTATGGTGCCGGGATGAAATTTTAATAATGAGGGAGCTGCCAAGATATGATTCAAGAGCCACTGTCTGGAATTAGCTCCTTTCTGTTTTTCACCTCATACCTGAAGGTGCCATTGTGTCTGGCTTCCTTATCAAAAGTGAAACTCCCAATTGTTTTTTGAAGGCTGCAAAGAACCAACTAGGATATTGGCAACACTTCAAGAGCTGTAGCTTACCACCTTCTTATAAAGTTAAATCTAATGGGGAGCTAAAGTTTTAAAAAATTCTCCTTTTAGAAAGGAACAGTACTTAAAATAAGCCTGAGACCATACTATCTCTGTCATTGTATTTGCTACCAACTTTTCCTTGGCACCAATGGTCTTTTCTGTCTCCCTCACAGTTTCTAACGTGTTGCCATTTCTATTTACTTTTTCAATATACTGAGCATTGCTGCTGTAAGCTTCTGAATATTTTTTGTAGAATCTCTTTGACCTCCTTCTAGAACGAAAACAAGGACAGACTGCAAAAAGGAAACTGTGCACTGATGGGAATGTGCTGATAACCTTATCTTCCCTACTCTCCAAACCTGAATTGGACACCATTGGTTTCAGCAGCAATTTGCACTACTTGCTGATCTGCCTGTAACTCCACTTCCTATTTCACAACCTAATCTCAGATGATACCACACTGCCCACAGTATGCTGATCACTACCAACAGCAGATGGAGTCAGATAAAAAGAGCTCTCACTCAAGTGTGTAGTTTTAAAAGGACTTGATGGGGAGCTTCGAAATTATATGCAACATTGACTGTAGTTAGACTTAAATAGCAGTGGCAGCATATGCCTGGCTGCTTTGCTTAGGATATCAACAGTTCATTTTCAGGATAATTACATTTAATTGGCTTCTTATGAAGTAGCATAGAATTCCAAAATGTATAATTCAAATGTAAGCTCCACAAAGGCAGAGATTTTGAGTTAGATTTGTGTGTGTGTGTGTGTGTGTGTGTGTGTGTGGTATTTGATTATATATATATCCCAAATACCTAAAAAGCACTTGGCATGTAGTAAGTGCACAATAAATTTCTGTTGGATGTATCTTTGAGTGAAAATGTAGTATGTAAATTGCTGAAAAAACTTGTCCTGCTTTCTTTCTAATTCCTTAATAGGTAACCCATTTTTCATTGTGCATTTCTAAATGAAAAAGCGTAAAATTGTTTCTGCCATTACTGCTTTGGCTGGGCTATGGAGAGACACAGGAATTTGACAGTATCTATCAAGATTTCAAATGCCTTTGTACTCTGAACCTCTGATTTCACTTCTAGGGATTTATCCCACAGATATATTTTTACACACAAGAAATAAAATGTTTCTTGTATTGCTGAAAACAGCAAATTATTGAGAACAACCTAAATATCCATCAACAGGACATTAGTTAAATCAAGATATATCCATTTATTTGAATGTGTTATGTGGTTGATAACAAAAAAGACAAAGTTACTTATGTTTTCATATTAATATCAACAAGACTATTTTGTTAAATGAAAAAAAGCAGGAAAATGCTGCAGAATAATGTATTGGTTTATATATGCATTAAACTAGCACTAACTGTTGAGGTATGAGAAATCAGCAGATGAAAGACATGGGAAAGATTTTTTCACTGTATTCATGTTTAAACTTTTGGTATTCAAACCATGAGAATTATTTACATCTTCAAAAAGTAAAACAAAAATGTTGACTTAAAATTTCCTCTGGTATCTGTGATTTAAATATTCTGGCTTCATCTATTTTATCAAATAATTTGCCTGATTAGAATATCATGTTTGCCAGTACATACAAAATCAGTCTGGAAAAAGTCAAACCATTGTAAATACAACAAGAACAGTTTGCATGTCATTGATGTAACCTGGCAGCCAAGGAGATTGGACTGGAATGTGCATGCGTGAACAATGATGACTTCACTGGACAAGTCAGTGGGGGCAGTAGACACCATTGAGTGAGCACGTGTACTGTGTGGCCATCACATTCAAAATGAGTGAGGAGAGCAACCGACCCATATCAAATTTTGCGTTAAGCTTGAACATTCCTCCACGGAAACTATTCAGATGATTCAGAAGACTTCTAGGGATGATGCAATAACTGCAACAAATAAAAGTGTGGCATAAATGCTTCAAAGATTGTCAAGAATCTGTTGAATGTGATCCACATTCTGGAAAGTCTGCAACAAGCAGAACACCTTAGAATGTTGAACGTGTACAAGCTGTAGTCAACAAAGATCGGCGACTGACAGTGTGAGAACTAGACACTGATCTGGGGATTCCAAAAACTACTGTGTCTGAGATTTTGATGTAGAATCTTGGCATGAAATGTGTTGTGGCAAAATTCGTTCTGTGGCTTCTGCTACCAGAGCAAAAGGAACATCATGCAGTAGTTGCTAATGACTTGATTAAAATTGTTACCAACAAACTGGATTTCCTCAAGAAGGTCATAACTTTGAAGGGGACTAAGGCATCATTGTCCTATGTACAATGTTTCTTGTATCTTGAATCTTCTTCAGTAAATGTCTCTATTTTTCATATCGCATGGCTGGATATCTTGACAGACCTCATACATCAGGTAAACTTTTTCAAAATTCAGCTATTTTTATTAAGTTCAAGTTGAACAATATCTATTCCTTACTGTAATAATTTAAGATCCAGATACTACATTTGAGACTTAGTGTATATTGTATCAAATGTATCTAAATTTTCAAAAGTACTTTATTTTTCTTGAAGTAGAGCCTTATTTGAACAACTTTCAAAAACTTGGATCCTCTGTTTTAAATAATAAAATTAGAATGCTATGAATCATTTGTTCATCTCCTACTGAGGTCAAGAAAAAATATACTTGGGCCCTGACTGCTGTGGCTCAGGGAGCTGGGCGTCCTCCCACAAACAGAAAGGCCACTGGTTCGATTCCTGGTCCGGGCAAATGCCCGGATTGCAGGCCAGGACCCCAGCTGGGGTGCATGAGTGGCCAACAAGGCATGTGTTTCTGTATATATCTGTCCACTTACCTACTTTGTAATGTCAACTGCTCCCCATTTCCATGGGTCACACAGATGCTCTGGAAATTATTTTCCTAATATATTTCAGTATTTGATTATATTTATTTGTAGGCCTAATTTCCAGAAATCTCAAAGGGAACTATAATCATAGATTATAATCACATTCAAGTTTATATAACACCATCCCTTTAAGGATTTTAAGAGTTTTATTAATGTTTTCTTGTGAAATCTCACCATTTTGCTATATAAATTTACATAATCAGATTTTTACACAAAAATGTGTTAAAGACAAGTGCTGGCATAAATAATTAGGATTAAAGGGAAAATTGCCACTTGGAGCTTTATTTCCAAAATTTTATAGCCAGGGCTGCCTAACACAGGAAAATTCGTAATTGGCCTTAAAATTAAATTTAAACTATATAAATTAGCCAATCAATAATTCAGTTATATTTTGATTGCTAATTTGTTCTGCTTACATCCTTTAAATTAAATAAGCATTCATTTCATCTTTAGCTATAACTCAGACTTAGATATAGGCATTAAGGAAATAACACTAAAATTAATAAAAATCAAGTCAGTAATTCTTTATTTAGCCTATTTGCACCCTGAAAATCCATTAGTATTTATCATAATTAGGCAGTAGTACAAAGTTTCAGGTGAAGCACAAGTAAGATAAAAACATTTCTTTTTTTTTTCAAATACATTTGTCTCTGCCTACCCCCCACCCCTTTCCCTTGCCCCCTCCCTCCCTCCCTCCCTCAGCTCTTCCCCTTTGGTTTTGTCCATGAGTCCTTGCTATATGTTCCTTGACTTTCCCCTTCCCTTCCTTTTTCCCACCCCCCCTTCCTCCTTCCCTCTTGTCTCTGTTGGTTTCTTTTCCTTTCAGTGTTGCTGGTCTTATTTTCCTTGCATCTTTGTATTGTTGGTTAGGTTCCACTAATAGGTGAGATCATATGGTATTTGTCTTTTGCTCCCTGGCTTATTTCGCTTAGCATGACGCTCTCCAGTTCCATCCATGCTGTCGCGAAGTTTT